TAGCATTAAGATTAGGGGGGCGTTTGCAAAAGCTTATGTAGAAGCAGAAGTTGGTGATAAGTTGGTGATTGTGAGTTAAGTTGGAAATAATTGTTTTTTTCTAAAAATTCGGGGTGTTTGAAAATGTCATTAAAAATCAACTTTGCAAAATAAAATTTAAGCTGCAGCTTATTTTGGTGAAATGTCTAAATTGTCCTAATAAATGGAATTTGGATAAGGAAAAAAAGGAATAAAATTTCAAATGCATTTATTAATTAGTTGCATAAGTGCTTTTAAATTGGAGAAGTAGCTCCAATGGTGCTTCTGAGAGTATCGCTTTTTATGGCTTAAAACTACATATTTCTAGAGAAGCAGAAGCAAAAGCTAGTGCTCCAAATATTAATAAAACGATTACGAGCCACGAAAAAAAATAAAAAAAATCATAATCACTTTGCAAAAACTTTTGCAAACACCACCGAAATTTGATTACGAGCCAAGAAAGCTAAGCAAAAAAGGGAGAGCTTATAATCACTTTTCAAAAGCTTTTGCAAACACCACCTTAGTGTGGAGTATCGAACACTTTGTGCATCTGATGTAATGGCCGTTGGATCGAACACACAACACACATACGACTGTGTGCGATCGAAGGGCCGAAATATGCACCTAGCTATTAAATAGAAGGAAAACACACACACACACACACACACGCACACACACACACACATGTGGTTGGGAGTTGGGAAAATGGGATAGGGGGGGGCCTAATAAGTTGGCAGTTGAGACAACCGTTTTTGGAGAAACCGATATTAATTGGAGTATGTGGTGTGTGAATATTCTCCTCGTTTTAGCTGACCAAACTGAAGACGATAACTTACTACAAGATTTTGAGTAAATACCGAGTGTTATTACATTGAGGACAAGGCTGTGAGTTTTGTCAGAATACGATTCATGATTGGTTCAATGATGTTAGTAAATACGCTGCTTGCTGGCGGAGATGTGGTCCAGAGTCGTCGAAAAATGGCATGGGTTTCATTATAGGTGGTCCTTTTGAAAAGAACTGCACCACATGGAAAATACTGAAAACTATAAATTAACTTGCTGAAAATTTGTGTCTCAATGAAGAAAGTAACATGTGCTACGACCACATAAAACATGTGGTCGAGATTTTTTTTCAAAATGTGGAGCAGCATCGAATGGGGTAAAATTAGTACAAACTGGAGAATATTCAACATAATCTATAAGATTCTACTAAATTTCACACTGCAAGGGTGTACGTGTAAGAAGATTCATAGTTGATGGGGGCGATTGTAATTACCCAGACATAAAGGATTTTTTTCGTAATTTGACATTACCTCAGAGTGTGCCCGTAATTTACCCTAAATAATAATTGTATTTTTTTTTTTTATTTTGATCTGTTGTACAGGTGAGGAGGAGCATATTTAGCTACTTCAACTGCTGTGCCAAAGCCTGAATGTTGGTTGGTGCATGCGGCTTTGTAATGTTACGTGTTCGAGTATATGTGATTCAAAATTAGGTATTTATCGATATCCATTTGCTCGTTTACCGTCCGCTTGTTTGTTGATAATAAATAGAAAGAAAAAGTTTATGTGATTTCTCAGACGTATTGCTAGTTTCGTTTGTTTCGGCTTGTTTTGTCGATAATTAATTGAAGCATATTGCAAATTTTATTGTTTTTGGCATCTAAATATAGCTCTGGATTGGCAAACTTTGAGTAGTGATATCTTAATTAATACTATTGCATATTAATTACGATTAATCCAATTTCGACAAACAAACAAGGCCTTAATGCATCGAGTTATAAACTCGAATATTATACCAAATAATGCGCAGAATCATTAAAAAGCAAAAAAGCTGCCCATCCTCAAATAGCAATAGCTAAGAACAAAATTTTCTCTAGTTAATAGATATATAATTTATGACCAAAAGACCCTCAAAATCCGTTAGTCCTCGAAAACTAGCTTCAATCCATCACACTAAAATTACACGATCGAGTACAATAATAACTTAGTAAAAGAACGAAAGTCTTACACTCGATAAAGAACTCTAAGCATCACTGCTCGTAGAATCACACCATATGCATTAATTCGACGTATTTAAGTTGAGAAACTAGACCTTTTTAATGATTTGCACAACATCTTCGTCTTCCAGTTCGTGCTCCTATTACATTAAAATAAATAAAAATTCAATTATCCAAAAATAAAAATAATATTGTCGAAGCAGAGGCGAACATGAAAAAGTTTCAATCAGAATTTACCTTGCCCACTCTCTGGGGTTTGTGTTTTGCGCTAGAGCCCCAAACCAATGCACTGCGATTTTTTGAAATTTATGAATAGTTAAAATTTTGAAAAATAAAATAAAATTTAGTCAATTAATCAACAGCGAAAGAAGAGTTTCGATAAAACTTACTATTTATATTGTTTAAGCATGTCCTTGTGGATTCTATTACAGAAGTCCTCAACTGTTCTTCTCTTCGACGACAATATGACAGGATCGTCATAATCAGGATTCATCCCCTTTGGCTTTGTGTAAATACGAGTTAAACTTAGATATTCCCATACTTTCTCAAGAAGCCCATCGAGATTCCATTCCAAATGTGCGCTAAAGCAAATTACAGTCATTTAATCACAAGAAACAAGCAAGTAATTAGTTTGGGTGGGGGGCAGGTAGTACCTGACTGGGGAATAATGCGGAAGTTTATCGAGAATCTCCAGTTCTTCAAATGTAATCTGATCAATCTTATTGACAGCATAGATGCAAGGCATATATACTCTACTGCCCTCAATAACATCGATGAGGTCATCAGCTGTTGCATCGTATCGCAGATTGATGTCAGCATTGTGTATTCGATATTCGCCGCAAATTGCCTTCACCGTTTCGAGGTCAAGATTCGTGTTTGTAACCGTAGAGGTGAGATTGATTCCACCTTTGTCTTTCCTCCGGAAAGACAGATTTGGTGGTTCCTTGTTCAATCTGTTGTTATTGAACGAGAAATTATAGAAGAAAGTATACATACATACACACTATAGAATCTATCACGGTAGACACCTAAATAAAAAAAAATAGTAGATGAAATAGCAAACACAACAAATTTATCACAAAAAAAAAAAATTCAAAATATACCTTATACCAAATCCCTCGAGCTCTTTCTCTATTAAACGCTTGTGAGTGATTGGTTTTATGGCATCTAGAACAATCAGAATGCAGTTACATGTGCGAGCTGTACTGATGACCTAATTTTGTAAGAACACATTCAAGTATTAATTGAAAGATAATCTTCAAAACCATGTCAATGAGTACACGATATACTTGAAAATAAAAACAAGAGAGAAGGCAATATTTAAGAAGCAAAGGGAACAATTAAATCTTCAAACAAATTAAATAAGAGTTTTGATGAAGCTAGTATATATTACTAAGCAAAAGATAACCTAAAGTAATGTCAAAAATTGATCACAAATACTTCATTTTACTCGTTTCTCTAAAAAATGAGACCACTCACACTCTTGTCAGCTCAAAAATCGGCTTTCACCCTCTTACGTGTTTAAACTCTCTTCATTTACTACATTACTTAGAGCATCTCCAACAGATTTTTCAAATTTTGGCTCCTTATCTCGAATTATAACAGGTGACAGCATTTCAACAAACGATTTTAACAACTCACTAAACATTGTTTATATTTTAACACACTACTTTTTATAGCATCTCCAACAAAACAGTATTTGGAACTTGGTTTTTGGATGTTGTTTAAGTTGTGTCTAATTGAACTCAAACTCAATTAGAAGTTCATTACAACATCTATATGAGTCAGTTTATAAAAATGACCACACACACAAGGCCGAATTAGACAAGCATATGGGAACAACAAGATATCCAGAAACGACCTCAATTAGAAATTTTATACGCCAACCAACTCTAAATAAATAAGTTATGAAAAAATTGATGCAAACCCCATATATATACACCAAGAAACCAATAAAATGTCATGACAGCTAATTGTGCATTACCTGCCGACCTCTACCCTTGCCATCTTTGGCACCCTCAATAATACCAGGAAGATCCAATAACTGTCATAAACAGGAAAAAGGATAAACAAAACTATATTAGATATTAAAAAAATGATACTCGTACATTCAAAGCAATTCAATAACAGCCCAAAGCATGACATGTTTTCAGAACAAAGATAATGATCCAGCTGTGTCCGACGTAAACCCTTCCATACAGTTTCAAACATCATATATTTCATAATCAACACAAAAGATATTGTGAACCACATTGGACTAATAAAGATAGAAGCAACAAGAAGATATATAAATTGCAACAAATACAAAAAGGTTATACATAGAAGCAATTGAGTTGGTCCGTAAAGAATATAATGTAATGAGACTAAAAAGAAAGAAAGACGAACAAACTGAGTGAAGAATAAACCTGGATGCAATATAGAGGAATTCAGAATTTTTGCTTATGAAAAAAATCTAAGTTAGATCTTCACTAGTTCAGTCAAAGGAAATGCAATTCGATTCTAATGGGATAGGAAGTGTCTCTCATGTGTCGTCTTAACAATGTCTAAAATTCATTCAAAACTGACTGTCTTAGTTTGGCACATCTAACCAAACCCTCATCAATTCAAAGAAGATGGTAATACCTGAATTTTAGCTCCTCGATATGTGATCACACCAGGAATGCAAGTTAAAGTAGTAAACTCATAAGAAGCAACCTGCAATTCAAGAAAATAAATGGGTATTCAGTAACTCAAACCACATATGCAACTTTAGTAATCAAATGAAGAAGACTAGATAATCAACGCAATGGCAAGTTGTATTGGCCAAACCGGCAAAGAGCAAAATTATAATATTCACCGAGCTAGGTTAACCTAGTTCTATAATCCCACACAGAATATATCTTTTAACCAAACTAACATTCAGGGAAAATATTATGTGCTGAAGAACATTCATATTACTTGCAAATACAGAAGAACAACTTTCAACAAAACCCTAAGTCTGAGACAAATAAGTATTACGCAACTCAGGCTCCTATAGATATATAATTTGTATGACTATGTTTTTTTTATGTTTTTATATTTTATATTGACTTTAGTACTCGAGATTTGATTCCGCATGAAATGCTTACGGTGTCAGATTTAGAAATTATCTATCCCAGATATATATTTTTTTTGCATTATCTCATTGTTTCTTCTTCATATACCATACTTATGCTTTAGTGGTAATAGTAAATATATATCGTACAGTAGAATGAATATTAAACAACGAAAAAGTTAATCGTTAACAGAGATATTCTATGCCTCAGAAGCTGTAAGAAAATTAATGTAAATGATAACACATATTATTTATATGCCAAACATAATGACACAAGATGCTTTATTTATATTCACCAATAAAAGCAAGAAGATTCACTCTAGCCTCAAGAATTACAAACCTCTGAAAAAGTTCCAGTTAATTTGTTTAAGAGAGTGGATTTTCCAACTGAAGGAAAACCCACAAGGCCGACTCTTGCATCACCACTTTTGGTGACATCAAAGCCTTCTCCAGCACCACCACCTCCCTTCGATGCTGGTGTAAGAATTTCTCTCCGAAGTTTTGCAAGTTTCGCCTAAAAAAGATAAAACAAAATCATATAAAAGCAATTAGCATGTTTATGCAGCCTAAGCGAAGTTATAATTTTTCACAGCAACAGAAAGTTCACTAGATTCTACAAAACTGTCGATAATTTATTCAAGATCCGAGGAAGCATTGCAACTAGTAATCCGAAGGTAAACAGTAAAGCACATATGTATAGTTACCCATCTTGACCTAACTGTGCAGAATATGAAAATGTATACGGGTCATATATACAATTAAATAATTGTGCTTTCCAAAGGTTGATATTTCATTGATTTAATATATGAAATTCAGAAACAATTTCACGGAGATAAAAGAAGAAAATTTACAAAATAGATGATGTACCGATGGTCATATACAAAGTTGTTCGGGGTATTTAATGTTACGGGGTTGAACAAAATCAGCTAACATGTTGTTCACAACATAAAGAGAGTTTACTTGTTTTGTAGCAATACGACAAACAATGACCAAGAAGAAACATGAAAAACTAGCATTACAACAGAAATCTGACAAGCATGATGAGTGTACCTTCAGCAAGCCCAGATGATGGGCGGTTGCTTTGTTCTTCTGCGTTCTTGCCATCTGCAACACGAAAAGAAAAATAAATTGGCAGTCTTAAAACACTTTCATTAGTAGTAAAGCGTCCAATGCAAAATAAAGAAACTAATAATTTGAACTTTCAGAAGGTGAATAGCAAATATACACATAGAAGGTCATTAGTCACACGATACACTTAGACCATAAAATATAAATTTACAAAAAAAAGAACATAAGGAAACACAAAATAATAAAGATGAAAGCCCTTTCATCAGTCAGTTCAGAAACACAGTAAAAAGAGGGATCTTGCATCAATTTCTACAAAGTACAGATATTTTCCAAATTATTTGTCTGCCTATTTCTGAAAGAATCAAAAAACAAAAAATCCAATTCCCTAAACCCTCAATATTACGAATTAATTTCACACTTTCAGCTCCAACAGAAGTACTAAAGCCGATAAATTAATTGCTCCAAAACCAAAAATTAACACAACCTTAAACTAATACACCAAAATTAACAGGCATAAACGCAAACACAGTCGACGCAAAGCAGAAATTTCGTTGAAGATTAGATTCTATTTAAATTTCTGCAAATTACCTCATCTTCGATGTCCTTGATTTTCTGCATAACAGTCGCCATTGTTGCTGAGAGTAGGGGAGTTCCAAAACGACGGCGTAAAGGCGGCGGGAGCACAAATTCTTCGTACGCCGGAGACGAAGGGGAAAGAGAAACTGAGCTAATCGGGCCCTATCAAAGAGAGTTCTAGAATTTTGTGGCGGGCCAGATGGGCCGGGTCGGTTGTAATTTGGATCTAGCGGATGGGCCGGGTCGGTTGTTATTTGGATCTAGCTGATGGGCATTTGAATTGTGATAGATCGGGTTCTATTTTAATTTAATTTAGGTCCAAATTCAACCGGTTCTCGAGCTTTGACCCCTGTTTTTGTACTTTTCCGGTTGTTAATGGTAAATCGGACCGGGTCTTGAGTGTCTGTAAACGCGAATTTATGTAAATTGCACGTTGAAGTCATATTTTGGGAGAATTACATTTTTAGTCCCTAAACTTTATTTCAATTTCACTTTTTGTCCCTCGTGTTTTGAGATGAACAAATTTTACTCTCAATTTACCAATTTACGACACTTTTGGTGATTTAGTCCTTTAGTTGACCGTATAGGACTGACCAAAAATACATTTTTGGAGCTAAAGTAGAATTTAAAGTTAAATTCATAAGTTTATTTTAGTATTAATTAGTTGATTTTAAAAATAACATATTGATTCAGACCTAAAATATCACCCTAGTAAAGATCCGTTAAGGGAGAGGCTCAGAAAGTAGAAGTCCAACGAAGGCAAGAGATCCGGCCCAATAGGCCCCACGGAGGAAGGCTACGCTCGCTAATCGCTCATCATAGAGAACTCGGATATGAGCACCGAGCTCAAAGCCCGATGCTACGGTAGGTGCATTTATTGTCCGGACATGCACATTTAATGCTCGTGCGTGTGCATTTAATGAACCTAACATATACATCTAATGTTAAGTGTTCCATGCCAGCCGTGAGAAGGCCATGCCACCGTACTAGAAAGCTTTACTTAGGAACATGGTCAAGTAGTGTTTAACTAGTGTAATGACTTTATAGGGTGTGCGGCGAGTTGAAATATTTCAATTCAGGTTTGGAGGTCTTTTTGAGGTCGGGTAATGGTAAGTAAAAATAGGAGCTCACCTCTCCCACTTGAGATAAGTTTTTTTTTTCTATTAGCATATGAATTTAAACCATTATCGTAATCAAATCAACAAATCTTTTCGACAAATACCTCCCCGCATCTACTATTGACCATTGGAGTACTAACTCCAATATCAGTCCGGTTTCCTCCTCTTCCTTGCAGCTCAACCCAAGCTTCATGAGGTACCTCTAAGCCAATCCACTCCTTGAAAAGGGCCTTGTCCTAACCTCAGGTGTTTGACGGACGAATCAATATAATAAAAATAAAATACTATTCTCAAGTTAATTATAAAATTATACAAATTAAAAATAAAATAAACTTAAAACTATTCCAGCCCCAACTTAACGTTAAATTATAAATTTAGCCCCAAAAAGGTATTTTTCGTTAGTCGTAAACGGTCAACTGACGGACTAGATCAAAAGTGTTACATGGAATTTGTTCACCTCAGAACATACATAACATAGAGGACGAAAAGTGGAATTGGAATAAAGTTCAGGGACTGAAAATGTAATTATTTATCCCTTCATATTTTCTACGGTAAATTACGAAAACCCCCTGAACTTAGGCTAAATAACGAAAATCCTCCATCTATCAATAATAACCAAAAGTCCAAAATCTCCCTTGACTAACTGTCGATGTCGTTTTTTTAACAGAAAATGTGTACAATCTGTTATACCTTCTTTTAAATAGGTGATAAATAAAAGAAAATATGAAATTGTGTAAACTCTATTTCCTAAAAGAAATCACACTGTAAAATGGTTGGTGTAAAACGAAAACAAACGTCAGGGTTTTTTTTGTAATTACGATTAAAATGGGGGCATTTTTCGTTATTTAGCCTAAGTTCGGGATTTTCGTCTATTCCCTAAAAAAATCACATTGTAAAGGGGTTGGTGTAAGACGAAAACAAACGTCAGATTTTTTTTTGATAATTACGAATAAGTGGTGGCCATATTCGGTATTTAGACTAAGTTCGGGATTTTCGTAATTTTGCCCTATTATCTATCTCAAAGTATTAGGCGGCACAATTTTGACTGTTTTACAATTTTCCAATTCCAACAACCAAAAAAAGAAAATCACAATAAAAATGGAACTGTTGGATTCGAACAACCAAACACGGCTCAAAAATTGAAGAAGCTGAGGTGGGTTTCTCACAAGGCTACCTACCTACCACCATCTCCACGTCAATCACCAACCCACTCTGCAAGAATTTCTGGTGAGCAAAACGTGGCTCTTATTTTATACTTCCGGTTTCATTTCAATTTTCAATATTCTTATTCTTTACCTCAATTACCATCTCTTTAATTGGGAAATATTACGTTGACCCCCTTTTCGCAAAGAATCGATCTTTTTTCATCTACCGAATCTGCTGTATTTGTTTGGTATGTCAATTTTTTTTTCGTTCCTTAATTTTTTTTTTCTGGGTTGTTGTGCTGATCTTGTTATTTCTGTTTATGGGAGCATATGGATGATTAATTGGGTGCGAATTCACGGTATATATATAGATATATATATTGGTTTCTTTATGGGGTTGTGGGATTTACTTTGAATCCTGCTATTAAGAAAAAAAAAAGGCTAGATTTTTTTATAGCCCTTATGGTGTTTGTAGAAATGCCTAGCTGAGACTTTGTCATCTGTGACTTATTCTTCATAGTATTGATTGTGATTTTTTTTTATTTCTTATCTTGGAAATGTAGGGAGTCCAAGTCTTTTTCCTAGAAAAAGGAAGTGATAAAAAAGAATGGAGACAAGAGTGTCACTTGGTGTGAAATTACCGACACGTATAAACACGGAAAATATTGCAATCAAACCAAACAGTTTGCAGTTTTTTCGTAACCATGGAGAGCAACGGTTGTGTCAGCTGCCCGTTTCGAGGAATCTCCTTGCGAAAAGGCGAAGAGTTTACGGACCTGTGATATTTAAGGTTTCGTGTTCTTCCGAACACAGTCCAGGTAGTTGGTACAAACATATGCTCTATCTTCTCTGATATTTTACATTGAAAGCTGTGAAATCAATGGCTTTTCTTGATTGTCTTCTTATCGAGCTCTGTCAAATAATTGTTTGTATGCTATTGTTTTTTTTTCTTTCCCATTGATCATAAAAGAAAGAATCGAGTAATTTAATTCTCAAGTAATTTACTCGCACTAAAATATTTCGGTTGTCTCCTTTTCTCTGTTAAGCTTCGACGGTGGAGACTCGAAGTGTTCCAGCTTCATTTGATGAATCAAAGATCATAAAAGTAAGTTCGTACGACTTTTTCTACCTTTTTTAGTTGCCACATTGAACATCTCTATATCGTTGCAATAGAAAATGTGGCGTATATGTAAGTCTAGTACTCGAACAGTTGAAGTTAAGCCTTTTTAATCAGTGTCGAAATGCTGTTGCAGAATATATCAGAAGAGATCGAACCATATCTAAATGGACGTTGTATATATCTTGTCGGTGAGTTCGAAAAATATATATATATATATACATATCAATTTTCTTGAATTCGTTTATGTGTTGCTCATCTTCACCGAGATTTATTTAGTTAATTATTTTTTTTTTTTCAGGAATGATGGGATCCGGTAAAACAACAGTAGGCAAGGTTTTGTCAGAAGCCCTTGGATACTCATTTTACGATTGGTTAGTGCTCCATATTTTTTTCGTTTTAGCATCCTCCTACATTTAAATCAAATACCTATACATTATGTTATTCTCGATTCTTACAATACGGAACATGCGACTTATGAAATGTCAGCGACAAACTGATAGAGGAGACTGTTGGAGGAAGTACCGTAGCTGAAATCTTCAAGTTATACGGAGAGAGCTTCTTCAGAGAGAATGAGGTCCTATTTTTTGTTTTTTTTTTATTTATTAAAAAAAAATTGTCATTCAACAATTAAATATTTAAATGAATATTTTAGAACTAAATGCTGAAAATTTTAATTATATTTTTTTAACTCCACTTCTCGAAGTGTACCTATAGATGTTCATTTTTCAACTTTTTTTGTCTCTATAGACGGAGGTATTGCACAAGTTGTCTTCGATGCAACGGTTAGTTGTTTCGACGGGCGGGGGTGCTGTTGTTCGGCCAATTAATTGGTAATAAATAAATATAATAATATGTATTTTTTTTAATTTAAAGTGTATAATAATATCCATTAATATTTTTTCGACATGATTATATAGGAGACACATGCACAAGGGTATAAGTGTTTGGCTAGATGTACCTTTGGAAGCCTTAGCACAGAGGATTATAGCCGACGGTACTAATTCCCGGCCGCTAATACGTTACGAATCTGGTGATCCTTATTCTAAGGTAAATTTTTTTTTTTTTTTATTTTTTTTTTATTTTTTTTTTTTTAAATGTGATCAGTTTGTTGTCACTTGTTTGATTGATTCTATGTTTTTCCTTTTGGTCTAGACGATGAAGCGATTATCTAATTTATTTGAAGAGAGGGGTGAAGCATATGCTAATGCCAACGTCAGAGTTTCTTTCGGAAGTATGATTTTTTTTTTATTTTTTTTTTTATTTTTTTTTTTAATTTTTATTTCTTGCCCCTTTAATTGTGCTTTATTATAAGTGTATAAATTGATGTTTATATATATAAATTATACGCATCTTTTTTATAATAGATATCGCAGCCAAACGTGGATTTAAAGATGTGTGTAATCTCACACCAACCGTGATCGGTATCGAGGTTTGTTTTCCTTCTTTTCTAGTCTATTTCGATTTAATTAACGCTGTTTTTATGTGGATAAATTTGGCTAATTTGAATAATAAATATTAAATATTATTAGGTGCTTCTGCAAATCGAGAATTTCTTGAAGAAATAAATAAAGGGCAGCAATTGTTTCGGTTTTTTTCGGGATGAGAGACTATTGGCATATGAATGAATGTGGAAGAAGTTTGAGCTTCATCAAATAAGTTATATGATATGCTGTAAATACTTCTACTCATAAATCATAATAGAAGTTGCTGAGAATTCAACTTCGCGTATTCATTTTTTTTTTTCGTTTGTAATTTATGTAACGGAACCTCACATTTTTTTTTCTCCATATTTATATATTTTGTTTGTTCTTCTTACCTCTCGTCCATGGATCTGAGTACAAGGTCTTAGGATTGAGTACTGACAGTCGCAACATAGGAATTTTGAACTCGAAAGTGAGTTGGTCCCTTGTGGGCGCCAGACTGGGGTCCACTTTTTCTGGTTCTTCGAATTAAAATCTTCTTCGATATTATGAAACCTGCAATCCACTTCAAATGACTAAACATCCAATTTCAGATAGTTTGAACAAGCATACGTAATCATTAATTAACAAAAACATTTGGAGAGACGAAAAAATGAAAAATGATATTTTTTTCTTTCTCATCTCTCGTTTTTTTTGTGAATCTTCTGTTAATGAGTATCTTCTGTATAATTGAGGAACTTTATGACATTGCATGCAGTGTGTCCCCTTAGTTTGTGGTAGGGGTGGGAACGAGCCGAGCTTGGTTCTTTGGGCCAGCTCGAGCTCGAGCTCGAGTCCATGTTGCCGAGCTCGAGCTCATTTAATTTTTTTTATTATTTAATTTTTTTATTAAAATCATTTGATTTTTTTATTAAAAATTATTTATAAGAAAATAAAAAAAAATTATAAAATAAATAATGAACTCTAGTTATATATATTTTTTTAATTTTTCTATTATTATAATATATTATATTATTATGAATTATTTAAGTAATATAGATATATATATATATATATATATATATATATATATATATATATATATATATATATATATATATATATATATATATATATATATATATATATATATATATATATATATATATATATATATATATATATATATATATATATATATATATATATATATATATATATATATATGTGTGTGTGTGTGTGTGTGTGTGTAAAAAAAAAATAATAAAAAAAAGGGAGCTCGCGAGCTGTCGAACAACTAATTTTGGGCTCGAGCTCGAAAAACCCGAGCTTGAGTTCGAGCCGGCTCGTCGATTTCGCGAGCCGGCTGGACTCGTTTACCAGCCCTAGTTTGTGGCATAAAAAGTTCCTTGAGTTTCTGGAATTCATTTTTCATCATTAATCAATGATGTCTCCATCTCAAATCAAAATGGCGTTGCAAATCAAAGAAGATACTTGAGATTCTACATTTTAATGTAGTACGATGTCATTGTTTTCTACTTTTCTTGAGTTTTGGGTGTCGTTTTTTTTTATTAATGATTTGGTGGTTTTTAATTTGAGTAGCAAGCTTCAGGAGAATGAATACAAATCCAATTTACGATTTAATTTCTTTTGCTTTGTTTCAATTTGGATATTTGACTCCCAAGATTTTGCCAATTTTAATGTATTGTGATTAACATTTTTGATTGATTCCACTTCTGGGAGCTATTTATATAGTGCTGATGGATAAAGAGTTGGTAACTCTCACACAAGTTTCTGATGATACAGACAAAAATATTGGATTATCATATATTTTGTATGAGAATCCAAATTATTATGGAGGTGGGCCCACGTTGAATGAGTAAATTGTCACACAATTTACTTTGACGAGCTAATTGCACATAATCCTCTGTGTAATTTTGAATAACCAAAAAAGTCCCCATGTTATAAAAATTAGCAAATACCACCCTATGTTTTGTTTGATAAAGAACATCGCCCCTTTTTTCTGAAATCGGCTGCTAAGTTATATGAAACTACTAAATTAACACTGATAATTTGTAATAATATTTCAATTTTAAATAAATAAAATAATTAAAAAAAATGAAAGAAAAAAGAACAAAAAATTTATGACGCACAGGCCGTCAACTCATGGCATCATCTTCCTTCCCCAATCCAATTGTTCCATCCAGCCTTCCACCGTCGCATCACCACTGCCAACACACCCGCCGCCCCACCTCAAACAATTACTTCAAACTATTTTTAATTCAAATCCACCATTAGAGAAACGGAGAAGGGACGGGCAATTCTTCCAATTCTCATCTGCCAATTCTTCAATGTGAAGTGCCTTCGTCTTCCGCCGGGTTTCGATGGAGAAAGCAATTTTTTTTGTTTTTCCTTCTTTTGCAAACGGGCTGGAATTCTGGAGAGAGGGAGAGG